TTAACATAGTGTGTAACATATTAATTGCTTATACTTCACTATTTCTTAATCTGTGTAATACCAATGAGTTATGACTGCGTTCAGCAGAGATGAAATACAAAGGTTTCCATCTCTGCTCAGAGCTGTAGCTAGGTAGCTACCAATTGCTTCCCAATGCTGAGGATCTCTAATGATTGTAATGGTACTAGCTATGAAGCCATTAGGTAATATCTAAATATGTTTCTGTCTCCTTTGTGCACATCATGAATTTGAAATTCCTGAAGTTCATATTGGGCTACAGAGAAGGGATGTCAAATTTCAGTAGCCCTTTATCATGACCAGTGATGCCTTTTACAATTTTTGGGGCAGATGCATCTCTGAAGTAATTAATCAAAATAAATTCATTCGGATGCACACTACTTCCTTTAATGAAACTATTAGTAAAGGGCAGAAGATTGAGGGTTCTAATTGCTGATAATGTGCCAGTAGCCAAATTTTCTGTCTTCTCTCCAGAAAGGTCTTGGGAAATTTCAAAAGGTTTTTTAACCTTTGTAATAATGGCTTTATATCAAAGCCACTTAGAATTCAGATACACCAATCATGACCTATTGGAAAGAGAGAAACAGAAGTGACAGATTATTACTTAACAATTGGTACATCAGTTCTGCACTACATAGTGCAGAAAGCAGGAATATCTGTCACATTTGCCTGTCAGGCTTTTCCATTTTAAAGGTTTAGATCATTTTCTTTTGTCCAGTGAGGAAGGTTCATATTATTTGAGATGGGTGAGGCAGAATAGGGTTATTTGGGATACAGGATACATAAGTTATTGTGTTATCGTTCAATTTTGAAAAGTTGGAGAATACTACGATACAGGGGTGGAGGGAACGTGGCTTGGACAGGTGTACCCTTTGCTGGGTAAAAAACTGGATGGATGGCCGGGCCCAAAGAGTGGTGGTGAATGGAGTTAAATCCAGTTGGCAGCTAGTCACAAGTGGTGTTCCCCAGGGCCTAGTACTGGGGCGAGTTCTGTTTAATATCTTTATCAATGATCTGGATGAGGGGATCGAGTGCACCCTCAGTAAGTTTGCAGACGACACCAAGTTGGGCAGGAGCTGGAGGATCTGCTGGAGGGCAGGAAGGCTCTGCAGAGGGATCTGGCCAGGCTGAATCCATGGGCCAAGGCCAACTGTGTGAGGTTCAACAAGGCTCAGTGCCGGGTCCTGCACTTGCGTCACAACAACCCCAGGCAACGCTACAGGCTTGGGGAAGAGCGGCTGGAGAGCTGCCTGGTGGAAAAGGACCTGGGGATCCTGGCTTGTATCAGAAATAGTGTGGCCAGCAGGACTAGGGAAGGTATCGTCCCCCTGTACTCGGCACTGGTGAGGCTGCACCTCGAATCCTGTGTTCAGTTTTGGGTCCCTCACTACAAGAAGGACATTGAGGTGCTGGAGCGTGGCCAGAGAAGGGCAATGGAGCTGGGGAAGGGTCTGGAGCACAAGCGCTATGAGGAGCAGCTGAGGGAACTGAGCCTGGAAAAAAGGAGGCTGAGGGGAGACCTTATCACTCTCTACAACTACCTGAAAGGAGGTTGTAGCAAGGTGGGGGTCGGTCTCTTCTGCCAAGTAACAAGCGATAGGACAAGAGGAAACGTCCTCAAGCTGCGCCAGGGGAGGTTTAGATTGGATGTTAGGAAAAATTTCTTCACCGAAAGACGAGTCAGGCATTGGAGCAGGCTGCCCCGGGAAGGGGGTGAGTCCCCATCCCTGGAGGTATTTAAAACCTGGGTAGATGTGGTGCTTAGGGACATGGTTTAGTGTTGGACTTGGCAGTGCTGGGTTAATAGTTGGGCTTGATGATCTTAAAGGTCTTTTCCAACCTAAACAATTCTATGATTCTATGAACCACAAGAGGTCATCTGCTCCCTTTCCTCGTCTACCTGACTCAAAGAACATGTTATTTCTGAATGATGTATAACCTGTTCTTCAAAGATCTCTTAGGCTAGATTCTGCATTTTCTTCTGCCCCAGACAACCTATTCCATCAATTCTTTATCATTATTTTGATAATAAAGATTGCCTTAATGTCAAACAAATCTTTCTTGTTGCGTCTTGAGCCCATTACTTCAGGCCCTGTCCATGAACATGGAAAACAGTTTATTCTTCCTCATATTTGGAAGACTTTTATGTATATGGAGACAGTAATCATTTTTCCCCATAATCTTTTCTAGGCTAAACAATCCCAATTCCTTCAGTTATTCCTCTTGGATCTTATTTTCTATTTTTTTTATTTATTTTCCTTTTTCTTTTTTACTTCTTTTCACTTGAGAAAGTTTTTTCTTGCAGTGTAGTTCTCAAAATTGGATGTAGTCGCTTTAGCTGAGGCCTTGCTAGTGCTGAGTAGAGTAGGAATACCTCATGTCTTACAGGTGATACTCATCTTTATACAATTACTACAGGAGAGTTCTTTGGTTGGTTCCATTTTGTTTTTTAACGACAGCAGCATGCAGTTGCTAACATGTTCAGCTTGTGGTCTGCTATAGCCCCCAAATGCTTTTCTGAGAGCAGCTTTTTCTGTTGAATCTTTTCTGTCCTGTATTTGTAGGATTTGTTGTTCCTACAGAAAAGTAGCAACTTGCATTTAACTTTATTGCATGCCATTTTTTAAAACCCTATCTCCAATACTGGATTTTAATCCTGTCCTTTAGTGTTCTCCTGGTGCTGTGGTGTAGGCTCGGAGCTCAGCTGCAGCCATGGCTGGTGGTGCAGCAAACATGATTTAGAGCGATACTACTGGCAGTCTCACCATCACCCAGGGTAATGCCAGAGCTGGTCTTTTCCTGGTGATTTGCAGGGCTGGGGAATCAGGAGCACAGGATCCGCATGCGGGTCAGGGTGCTTTGTGTTCTTGTCTGCTGGGCTTCCTACTTATCTTCTCTCCCATTTTTCTTAATATTTGACCTCATGTTCAGGCCACTGATTACTCAATGCTGCAGGCGTGAGCAAAGCTGAGCTGGAGGAAGTTCTAGTGACTCCCAGGCAGTTTGTTGCGAGTTAAACCTGGATGATGACTATATGCCACTGCTTGTGGCACAAAAGTTTCACCTCATTGCATAATCAGGTCTTTGTTTTTATCTTCTTGGAAGTGGTGCAGGGCTTGTTTCTTTTTTGTTTTGTGTGTATGTGACTTTCTGATTTGTCCTGAACTTCATAAATTACCATTAAATGCAAATATGGGTAAATCCCCAAGACACAGAGTATGTTTTATATCTGAAACTTGTTTCTATTTATGGGATTTCTCTTCCTCTGAACCTGTCCCTTTAAATTAGATTTCTCTATCAGTAATACATATCAGTTGCTAAGGAAAAACTGGATCTGAGTAGAATCATTTCAAAGCAGAGCTGAGATAGCCTGAAAAGATGTCCTGTCATTTCCACAAACTCTCTTGCTGTTCCTTTGCCCTGGAGTCCTTAGTTCGCAGTGTTTAACACTCACAGTCACAAAAAATAAGGCTTTAAGGGATCAAGGCAAAAGATTCATTTCAAAGGACATAGAGCACTTGCAGAAGCCAAATACACAGCAGAAAAGATGTTGAACCTGCTTTTCGTTGAACCTATGTGAGTTGTTCAATGCTTATTGCTTTGGAAGTCTGGAGCCAGAACAGTAGTTGGGTTTGTTACTGAATTTTTTTCACAAATGTTGAGATCTGCTCCTTTGCATCTGTTTCTGGACTTATCAAAATACCAGTACATGGAAATAAATACTTCTGGAACAAAATTTTCAAGTTTGGATGACAGAAGTTAAGCTCCAAAAGCCATGCATTTCACTACAGTGCTCTGTTGCTCAAAAACGCCAGGTACTCAGCAGAATTTGTATGGAGGATGGCTGGGGGTGGTCTCTACCTTAGAAAATCCTGAGAATGGCCTTAAACTTTTCAGGAATGTTATTTATAAACCTGGCTCTGATTTACTGTGTTGGGTAGCTTTGTTTTCATGTATGCCACAGGAATTATTCAGGGTTCTTACTTTTCTAGAACGGTCAACCTTCCTTTTTTAACAGTATTTTTAAGTTTGATGGGATTTCTTATGAGAGCTTTAGGAGAACCTGAGAAATAACAAGTTGCAAGACGAAAAGAAAATCTGACCTAGATTTCAAACTCATTAAACTTGAATTGAAAACAGTATCAATAGTATCAGCGCCCCATTTTGCTGCTGTTGACATCAGTGGCTGCAGTCCTCATAACTTTGGTGTGAAGATTTTGCTGAATATTTTATTCACTTTATAGAATTGGAAACTGAAAAGTTGGAGCAAACTTTGAAGTTCTTCCTTCATGGGAATCTTGGGAATGTGGTGATGCTGAAACAGATCAGGAGTTGTAAGCGTTAGCTTAGTCGATGGCTCCTTGAAAGGCTTTTATATGCCATCACCCAAGTTCAAACTTCAGCTTTCCTTGTTATTTTCCCTGCAGTTAATAGCATCACTAACTCCTTCTGGACTCCTTACGTTGCTTCATTGGCCATATCAAAGGAAATTAAATAATCTTGAAACAGTTCCAGATACAAAGTTCACAGAGAGGCCCCATCTTTGCAATACGCTGAGATTCAAAGAGCAGTATGTTTACTTTCGAGGCTCTTGTATCCTGTCCCAAACATTGCCAGTCAAATCCAGTTTAGTAAAAACTCTGAACTCATGTTTTGGAAGGTAAGTATTGGGAAAAGCCCCACACTGAAGAAGCAAAAGCTACCTGGGATGTGTGCCTGCCTGGACTGAATTTAGCTGCAGTCAGTTTGCTCACTACTTAACAATGTGCAATGCAGCTGACTGTTTATTTAGCAAGTAAAATATAATTGGGATTTTACTACGTTTTACCAAGTTGCCCCTATTTGAAGATGAGATTAGATCATTAGCCACTGAGAACTAATGCATCTTTCTTGAGTGTTAGTCCAGTTGAAGAGCTGATGCTTGCCTTTTGGAAATCTCTTTAGCTGTCTCTGAACAGCGCTGTGCTTTGTTTTGTGTACAGGACACCGAAATTCTGAACACCGCAATTCTCACGGGAAAAACAGTGGCAGTGCCCATCAAGGTGGTCTCCATTGAGGAGAACAGTGCTGTGACAGACATCTCTGAATCAGTTGAGTGCAAGTCCTCTGATGAAGACGTCATTAAAGTAAGTTCATGCCATGTATTAGCTTCTCAAATGTCATGTCTTTTATACACAAAATGATAATAGCCTGGGAACAACCACTAAATTGGCTCTGCAAATTAATTGTACTACTGTTTCAAAAGCATGAGGAGAGGGATTTTTAAGAAAAGAGTGAGTCAGGTGCAACAGTACAGCCACCACACTGAGTTTCAGTAGAATTTCTGTGTTTAATTTTTATTTGTGTCCTGATTTTAAAATGTCTTGATAATGTCACCTCAAGTCCTCTGTGCACAGAGTTCATTCACTGCAAAACCAGCTCTGCTGTTAGTACTAGCTCTGCTGTTAGTACTGCCGCTCCAGATGTTTCTTATCACCCTTCCAGCTGTGATTATCACCTTCACAGCCGCATCAGTGGAATGGATTGGGTAAGCGTTCCCCAGAAACTGCAACGCAAAGTCATCCTGGTCGACTTCACATTCTGCTGAGAGCTGTTTTGAATTAACAACTTGATTCTGCACAGAAGTGGCTAGAAAGCATTCACATGACCCGTCCATCAATTTAGCACTAGCAGCTTAATGTCGCACAATAACAAACACCAGTATTGTCTTAAGGCAACACAGCAATTTCTGCTGTGAATGTGTAGTCAAACCCTGAAGGAAATTCACAGTTGTTCAGGGAGTCAGTACAAAGGCAATGCTCTGCATGAATCCCCTTGCACTTTCCACACAGGACGTTTATGGTTCACAGGCTTTAAGCAAGGGTGATTCTACCCTTGGTCTATAAGCTCTTTCGAACAGGGTTTTTTTACTATATTATGTGATTTTACAGCATATAGCACAGTGGGCTTTGTGATGATACCCTTTAGGTGTCTTTAATATGCTATCAGCCCTCTTGGATGTACAGTATACAAATAGTAATGCCGCAGCGCTGTGTGTTACAGTCAGTTCAGTTTGTAGGTTCATGGAAAGCAATAAAACTCCTGTGAACTTGCAGGACCCAACAGTTTGCTGCACTGTTGTAGAATTTATGTAGAAGCATTTATTATACCAGTAACCAAGTAGGTGGGAAAAATAGTCATACTTTGAACTAATGAAGCCATTATAGAAGACTTTTACAGGAAGCTTTCTGCTTTCAGTGGATCCTTCAGAGCCAAACAAATCTCTCCGGTTTGCTGGAGCTTGAAGTGCTCCCATATATTAGATGCTTTACAGAGTTTTTAATCTCAAAGAACTCCTGTTAACCTTTTTCCTAATGTAGCCACCTACCTACAAATCAAAGTAATAGCTGGAATTTAGTTTAGGGATCATCCTGATTGTAACCTTATTGGAAATCACATTCCTGAGTAAGAAAAAACACATGATAGCATTCACAAATTAAAAAAATAAATTCAGAAAAGGACTGCTGTGATCATCCAGATTAGCCGTCTTGCTTAAACAGCTTACAAAATTTCACCAGATAATTCCAGCCCCATGGGGATTTCTTCTTTCCAGCAGTGAAAATGTCCAGTGTTAAGTTCTTCCATTCAGAGGAAGACTCAGGTCAGGGAAAAAAAAATATGTCTGATGGGCATTTGTTATACATCACCAGATGATGCATAGAAAATGACAGCACAATGATTTCCCAAATAAAAATCCGTCTGCAAAAATTACTTCTGGCTTTTATAGCTGTGCTGCATATGGATCGAGAAGAAATGAAATTCCCGAATCTTACAAAAACAGAGAGTGTTCTTGCAGTAATTGCAGTACAGCCTGGACTATTGCAGTTCTCCCACACTTTGTTTGGAAAGAATGTTTTCTTGAAGCACTATGTCCTTTGCTTAGCACATGGGACCCTGCTGTGCTCTTCTCTTATTTTCTACAGAAATAATTTATCTCCACTAAAAGGGTTTCTTAAAATGGAGCCTGTCTGCACTATCGGAACATTTTTAAGTGGCTTCTAGAATCCTCCCTATGTAGCTGCTCTGGAGTTGAAGTGAAACAAATAACTGGAGGCTAACACACAGTGTTTATTGGAATCGACTAGAGAAATTTTTCAGGTGTAATTTCTTTCTCTTCAGAAATGTTTTGAAATTGCTCAGATGAATAGAGAAACTATCTTCTGTTCTAGAGGAATGCATCTGTAACATGAGTGCTAACTGCTATGAAACATGCAGGTAGTTAAAAAATAGAGTTCAATGAAATGCTTTGAACAAAAAGGTTTTATTATTTCATCATAAAGGAAAAAGGGGTTTTTTTCTCTTCTAGAATGTTCCAGTTTCCAGGAGATTTTTTTACATGGGGAAATGAAGTTTGGGGTTCAAGTCAAATCGACATGTTCATATTGGTTTTGATTTTAAAAAAGCACTCAGAAAGCTTCAAATGGAGCACAAAGTCCTTTAATCCTTAATTAATTTTTAAATTCCCCATCAAGCTTTTATGTTAAATTCTTTGGATATATCATCATCCTCTGTAAAATACTGGTTTAGATACCTTGTTGGGAGTAACCTTTCTGTTTTTTTTTTAAAAAAAAAAAAGTCCAGTCATCATAAATTATATCTGTTGGGAAGAGATCATGGTATCGTCAACAAAGAATGTGTGCATGTGTATACAGCTCATGTTCCTGAGCATCCCTGTCATAGCAGAATCAAAACATACAGGTATGAAATGAACAGGTATGAAACAGGTACATGAACAGGTATGAAAGCCTGTGGATTAATTAAAACCACAAACTAAGAAAAAAAAGGTGTTATTGATGAGAGCTATTTAATACTTAGACATATTATCATCCAGAGGTTCACACAGATATTTTTGTTTTATTTCAATTGTGTGGAATGTCTGATACCTTTGGATTCAGGCAAACATACAGATTTAGGCTAGAAGTTGAAGATGAACGGTGCCTATTAGCACTTGGCTTGTAATATTTAGTCATCAAATAAGTAAGTGTTCATTTGTATGGTTCATGTAAAGAGCCTAAAGGTAATGTTTCTCCCAGCAATTTGAATGGCCATCAGATAAAAGCTTATTTATATTAATTTTTACAGTGCCTTCAGTTGGGCTGCAATTACACTATTCTCGGTAACAGAGCCCAGTGGAAATCTAAACCTAAGATATATCTGCAAGTAACAGGTAATAGTTGCCCCAGTGATAAGCATGGTCTTGAGGCAGCTCAGTGCACAGTTTGTGTCCTGTCTTAATCTGCTGACTCCGACTCCTTTTACTCTTTTTATTGTCTCGTAGTTTCAACTCTTTACTTCCAAATTTACAGTTGATTTCATGAACTTTAAAAGTCTTTGAATGCTCTAGACCTTCACACAGTGGTCCAACATTTTAAAAGTGGACAGAAAATTTATTATGACACTAAAAATCAAGCAACAGCCAAATTTTACTTTGCTAAGCTGGAATTTACCAATAGGATCCATATATCTAGATCCATTAATAGTAATTGCAGTTGCATGTGTAGGCTCCTTTTCACCTCCTGGAAATTCAAGTGGAACGTGACTGCTTTTGCTGGTGCTTTTGTGCAGTTTGCTCAAGAGCAAATATTGCTGCGGGTTCCCGGGTCACCTGGCTGCTAGAGCAGATGTGGTTTCACGCTGTGAAGAGCAGCAGTTTCAGGAGACCTGCAATACCTTGTGACATTTCCAGATTGAAAACTCTTGATAATCCTTACGAACTTGAGGATGTATTTTCCATTAAAATAACCTGAGTTCAAAAATCTTTTGTGCTATGTGTATTTCAGAAGCTACTGTAAACATTTTGGGTTTGTAGTTCATCATTCTTGGACTAGCTTTTATCCCACTGCTGCATGAGGGGATGCTATATACATGGTATTGTATTCTTATTGTGTTGCTGTTATTTACAATTGGTAAATTACAAGCTGGATACTAGTCTCAGTGTATTAACCTTGAACCATTCTCTAAAGACCTTATTTACTAGTTTCTTTTCATTTTTAAATGGCATTAATAGCTTTGAGATGTATTCAGATCAAAACATGGATTCAGATAATATTGGTCCACACGTGCAGCTGCTGTGGTCATCACTGGAAACAGAAACACGGATCTTACCTATAAGACGTCCCTCAGTAGTTGTTAATAAACAGTGGGCTCTTGGTTTCATTGGCACTGATGAGCAGAGGGAGACGTTAACCACAGGTGAAGGCCCTGCAAGAATGTTAGGAATTTCTGTTTGGAGCTAAAATCCAGAACAGAGTGTCACAGCTGGCCCTCTCTTATCACAGTAACTTGAAACAAAATCCCAGATCAAAGCAACACTGAACTGTTGGGGGCTGAAAATCTGGCTAGGGGGGTTTTATGGTTGAACTCTAGCTTCATAGCTGGAAAAGACTGGAACTACTGCTGGTATCAACACTTTGAAAGCAATAGTGATGGGACTTACAGACACCTGTCAAGGTTACAGATCTTGTTTAAAGGCCCAATCCAGGAATCATTTACACACATGAGTAACTTTACTGTGAATACTGCTGACATCAGGGAACATACTCATATGAAATAGTTGTTTAGGATTCATAAATGTTTGAGAGATTTTGCCATTTGTGGTGGAAACAGTTTATGAAATGCAATTAATTCTTGCTAAATAGATGCAAACTCATGTTGAAATGTCTGCTGTTCATTTGTGAATCTATTCAGATTAAAGGCCAGTCTGGCTGCTGTGTAACGCATGATGTAGGAAAGTCTCAGTTTGCCAGTAAGGAAGCTGACAGATGGACATTTTCATAAGATGTAAATAAATAGTTGTGTACTAATTGTCGTAATTTCTTTTTAAAATTGTATATCTGGAACCATATCACAAGACCCTATTTACTAAGGAAAAGTCATTAGCACTTCCTTATTTAGATGATACTCTGCTATTGTCTTAACGTACCCAGTCTTACACAAATAGCTATGCTTCAACCTCTTCAGCTGTTACTTAACTACAAAGAAATTTCACTGTTCTTCCTTAATTTCCAGTATTTGCAAAACTTAATATGTGTTTTAAAACTAGATACAGAAGCACTGTTTTCCCTTTGACAGGCAGAGGAACCACTAG